TGCCTGGGACTATTGAGCACTTGAAATATAGAGGGTGAATGGAACTATTCAATTTTAATGTAAGTTTAATCATTTACATTTAAACAGACACAGGTGCGAGAAGCTGCTGGAGCAGGCACACCTGTTAGCACGGAGGCTCCCTAAGCCGGCAAACTTAGAGTTGTAGCTGTGGTTGTCATGTGCCAGCCAGTTGTTGAGTGTGACTGCACAACAAGGCATCAGGTTTCAAGGCTCTAATCATTATGGAAATAGGTCATCAGGTCTTTCTCCCACAGGGATTCTGGGTAGGTTCAAACTGCCAACTTTCGGTTAGCCGTTAAGTCCTAGGACTCCTTTGGGTCTCCAGCCTGCTGCCATCGACACGGAATGGACTCATAGTGATCCTACAGGGTGGAGCAATACTGCCCCCTGGAGTTTCCAAACCTTTAAATCTTTACAGGAACATCCAGCCTCATCTTTCTAAAGGCTTTTGATGTCGACGCTGTTGATCTGGGGCCACAGTTTGAGAACCACGAAACTCGCTGTCTCAGAATTGCCAACCAATTGCCAACCAGTTCTTAAGTCGAAGAAGTTGTTGCTTCATCATGCTCACATGATGGTTTCTGGGTTTTTGGTTATGTTTTCTTTTTAATTAAAATATTTTATTGAGATAATTGTAGCTTCACCTGCAATTGCAGGAAAAAATAGAAAGAGACCAAACTTACTGCCAGCATATCTCCTACCCAGTTTCCCCCGGTGGTAACATCTTGCAGAATCATAGTGCACTCTTGTAATCAGGATATTAACAGGGATACAGATCACCAACCGGACTCTTAATTTGCCCAGTTTTTTTAATGTTATTGTATTCATACTTATGTGCATGGCCGGGCACACACGTACTTAGTGTTATTCACTTTTCTCACCCGTATACGCTTGCTGTACCTTGAGTTGCTAACCAGCAGTTTGAAACTACCAGCCCTTCTCCAGGAGAAGGATGCGGCTGTGCTTGCCCATATAGAATGACAGTCATAGAAGCCCACGAGGGCAGTTCTACCCTGGCCTACAGGGTCACTGTGAACCAGAATCAACTCGATGGTGCTGAGTCTGGTTCTGGTTTATACGTTTGCCTATCTACCACCCAGGTCATGATACAGACCTGTTTCATCACAAGGGAATGAGTGCCTACCCTTTAACAGGTTATCTAACAGGGCTCTTCAAGTAGATTCAAAATATTTACCAAGTCATCTACATTTTTAGCTGATTGCGTAGGTTGCCAATGTATTGGTTTGGTGTTCCATCAAGTAGGTTCCAACCCATAGTGATTCTTGGCACAACAGGAAACGCTGCATGGTGCGGTGCCATCCTCACGATTGTTCCTGTGCCTGAGCCCACTGTTGTAGCCACTGTGTCCATCCATCTCCGTGAGGGCCTTCCTCTTTTCCTGCCCCTCCACCTCACCCAGCATGATGTCCTTGACCAGACACTGGTCTCTCCTGACATGTCCAGAGTATGCACCATGGAGTCTTGCTGTCCTTTCCTCGAAGGAGCACTCTGGCCATACTTCTCCAAGAGAGATGGGTCTTTTGATTGAGTAGCCCATAGTATCTTCAATATTCTTTCCCAGCACTGCAACTCAAATGCATCATTTCTTCTGACTTCCTTACTCAGTGTCCAACTAGCACATGCAAATGAGGCAATGGACAGTAGCGAGGCTTGGGTCAGGTGTACCTTAGTCCTCGAAGTAACACCCTTCCTTTCAGCAGTGTAGTGTGGACAGGATAAGGAATGCCAACAAATTTTATAGGACAGCCTTGCTGACTCTTGAAAAAAGAGCAAGCACACATTGCTGGGACGAGAGAGAGAAAAACTCCACGGTATAACTTCTCTGGCCTTTTTTCACCACCGCAATTTTCAAGTTTCTTCAAACTCCCTCATAACGAGGCTCTGTCATTGTCCTGGGTCCTTTGAGACAATTTATCAAGCTATCCCTTTGGAATGCCCTCAAAATCTGTTGCTATAACCTTCTGACGTCTCTGCTTTGAATTTAACGGACCCAGTTAACCCCCTCGGAAGCCACTCTTGGTTGGACTTTGGGTTTGTTTGTTTTTAAAGGCAACCTAAGAAGAATTTCAAATGAAATAAATAAAACTAAACTCACTGTCACTGCGTGGATGCTAACTCATAGCAGCCCTCTAGGACAGGGGCGAGCCGCCCCTCTGCCCTGCTGAGGCTGGCACTCCACGTGCAAACAGAAAGCACTGTCTTTCTGCAACGGAGCAGCTGCTGGTTTCAAACTGCTGACCTTTCCACGATTAGCCCCAAGTGTACTCTCTGCACCACCAGGGTCCCTCCCATCAGAACTTAGACAAGTATGTTATTGAGCGAACTGATCGACAACCGTACATCGATCAAAGAAATAGGTTTAAACACACTTTGTTTGGAATAAACCTATGCCTGTGTGAACTGGAACCTCCGTGGCTGGACTGTTTGACATAGCCTTGTATATTCATGACGTATATACGTCATGTTTTCATGGTCTGTGTTTGTTAGATTTCCCTCATGCAATAGGATAAGAAGCGTTTTTTGTTTCCAAGAAGAGGTTTTGTAGAAATGGAATATATTCTTTAAAAGTCTGATGTGTTTATAGTGTAAACAACTGGGCTTGGAGATGTCTTTTTTTTAAAGTTTTTAAACTAAGAATTCACTTGTTAAAAAGCAGCCATCGGACCAGTCATTTAACCAGATTCATCTTGAGTGACTCTGAGTCCTTACGAGTTTCCAAGAAACCTTCCCATTTCATCGAGATTGGTCATTTTATCTGAGTAGATCTGCACTATCCTTCTGTCCATGGCGTCTGTTATTTTACTCTTGTATTCATGACACTGGTCATTCGGGTTCATTTTCTCAGAACATCTAGCTGGAAGTTTATCAAATTTGTTCATCTCTTCAGAGAATCCTCTTTGGGTTTCATTGGATTTTTTTTTTCTGTACTAATTTTTTTGCTTTCAATTTCATTGATGTCCGCTCTTTCTTTTCTTCTGGCTGTTTTCAATTTACTTTGTTCTTCTAGTTTCTTAAGACTTGATTATCGACATCAGACATATCTTCTTTTCACTTGATCTATTTTCTATAGCGGTAGGATTTTTTTTTCTCCCCTGGTGGCTTTAAAACATTTTTCTCAAAAAAAAAACAAAAACATTTTTCTCTCCCAATAAGATGATTATTACAAAAAAAAGTTCCAATCAAAAATAAATAAAAATACTAGTTGATCCTTAAAAGAAAGAACTGTCAAAGCTTATTAAATATTGGTTGAATTAATTAATAGAAAGAGTGTTTTCTCTCACACTCTCTTTTCATTGTCTCCATTTCAGTAGGCATCCTAGGTGTACAAATGGACAGGTGCTCAGCACAAGCTGAGAGGTTGGCAGCTGGCACATCCTACAGAGGCCCCAAAAATCCTGGCACGGTCTGACAACGGAGCAGTTCTCCTCTGCCACACACAGGGCCATCCTGTGTCACCACCAACTGGCCAACAATGAGGAACGGCCACACGTTCTTAGTGGTTTGGTTGCCAAGTGGCTGGGCAAGGAATTCCGTGGCTTTTTATATTTGAGGATCACACCGCTTCTTGAATCTGTGCTGTTTTATCTCTTGCCAACATTTGCCAAGTTTTCAGCTACGGTTTCCTCAGATAAATGACCAGTCCCCACGCTTTGTCTAGTCCTCTGGTACTTCAGTGGCACATATGGATAAACGTTGTGGGATCGATCTTTCTACAGATGCCTGGACTTCTCTCTTGGTATCCCCCACCCCACCCCAAGGCTTTTGCTACCAGTTGTTTCAATTGAATCGTTTTGATTGCTCTATCTTTCATGTTGCTGGACCTTTCCTTCTGTTGTCGCCATTCTGCTGCTCAGTGCACCATCCACTGGTGCTTGTCTCTCATGAAAACGATCAGTTTTTATTTTAGTTTATTTTTAAAAATCATTTTTGGGGGGCTCGTACAACTCTTATCACAGCCCATCCATACATCCATTGTGTCAAGCACATTTATACATTTGTTGTCATCATCATTTTCAAAACATTTGCTTTCTACTTGAGCCCTTGGTATCAGCTCATTCCCCCCTCTCCCCGCTCCCCCCCATGAACCCTTGATAATTTATAAATTATTATTATTTTGTCATATGTTACACTGCCCAACATCTCCCTTCACCCACTTTTCTGTTCTTCGTCCCCCAGGGAAGAGGTTATAGGTAGATCCTTGTAATCGGTTCCCCCTTTCTACTCCACCTTCCCTCCACCCTCCCAGTATTGCCACTCTCAGCACTGGTCCTGAAGGGATCATCCACCTTGAATTCCCTGTGTTTTCAGTTCCTATCTGTACCAGTGTACATCCTCTGGTCTAGCCAGGTCTGTAAGGTAGAATTGGGATCATGATAGTTGGGGGAAGAAGCATTTAAGAACTAGAGGAAAGTTGTATGTTTCATTGTTGCTATCTGCACCCTAAGTGGCTCCTCTCCTCCCCGCAACCCTTCACTAAGGGGGTGTCCAGTTGCCTAAAGATGGGCTTTGGGTCTCCACTCACCCTCATTTACAATGATGTGATTTTTTGTTCTTTGATGCTTGATACCTGATCCCTTCAACACCTGGTGATCACACAGCCTGGTGTGCTTCTTCCATGTGGGCTTTGTTGCTTCTGAGCTAGATGGCCCCTTGTTTATCTTCAAGCCTTTAAGACCTGGACGCTATCTCTTTTGATAACTGGGCACCATCAGCTTTTTTCAACACATTTGCTTATGCACACATGTGTCTTCAGTGATCATATTGTCTTCAGGAAGGTGGGTACCCACTGATATTTTTTGTTTTTGATGCCTGATACCTGGTCCTGAAAACTTTCAGTTTTAAGATATGCTTCTTCCTTCCTTCTTCCTCACATTTCCTCTGACTTTCCTTTCATTACTGTGTGCTCTGGGGACCCCATGTGTGTCAGAGTTGGGAGGGTTTTGTATGGTTGAACTGTCCGAAGTAAATCAACAGGCAAAAAGCTGCAAAGCACCCTTGGCTGGACTCCCATCTCTAGTCTCTCGGTGAGCAGCCCCGGGTTCACCAGGTGCACCACCCAAAGGCTCCTTCTCTTTATGACCCACAAACATAGGATCACTCAGACACATTTTTTAATAGCCGTAAATTACGGTCCTTATCAGCTAATTGCAACATCTGTGTCATTTGGGTTTTGACATTTGCTAACCAGCTCCCCATACATGAGTACAGATTTTCCCGTTACTTCATTCTGTGACTCATTTTGAATTGACCTGTGAAACCTTTGAACAACATGTTATTAGAGTCAAGACCTGGCTTAAAATCCTACACAGACTGTCTCTTCCCCATGAAGCAAAAGCTCGAAGAGAAAGGGCACATTTTGGCTTTCATTTCTATATTCGCAGAACTCAGAAGAATGCCTTGAGCAAATGAATAAATGCCTAAAACTCTATACAGTTCCCAAATGCCTTAAAGAAGAAAGCGCCAAACTCCTTGCCCTGCCTACCTCGGAATCGTCTACCTCCATTTTTGTTTTTTTAAGCCATGCATTGCAATCAAAGTGAAACATCTGTGTTTTCAAAAGCTACTTCTTTCTTCTATTTGCTTATCATCTCTCTACCCCTTCCCTTTTGTCTTGACTAAATCCTATTAGGCATCACTCAGCCTAGTTGCTTAATGAAAGAAGGCTTTCATGAAAACCCACAGCATTAGCTACCCAACTCGTATGGTCTCTTTGGCAACTAGTTCACACTCACATTGTTCATCACCCTTTGCTCGAATGGGCTGTTACGGTATTTATTTCATGGCTACAATGTGTTCCTTCCGAACAGGGACTTCATCTCATTTATCTTTTTACTCTCAGACTTTAGCATGATAGTTAATATCTAATAGATAATAATATATATGGCTTGGGAGAATCACTTAACAATACTATGTGTAGTCAGCAGTTAAAAGCAGCCTTAAGCAATCTAAACAAATCTGGCAGGCTATTGATTCAACCGATTAGTCTAAACCACTTCCATGAGTAAGCTTCATCTCTGAAATGAGCTTCTGGTACCAATTCCTGTACGCATCACGGACAACGTGGAAAGGAACGATAAAGAAATGAAATCACTTACTGCAAGATTAATAAAGCATCACCCCCGCCCAGTATATTTCTAAATCTACGCTACTGAAGTGTAGTCAATGGAGGACTGTTAGCTGGGACACAAAACTGAGCTTATGCAGTAGCACAATCATTATGGCATAATATTTATCTTATTTTTTTCTATAATTTATCATCATTTTTCTGGCTAAACTCAAAAGTCTATGTTAAAAACCAGCCTCCCAAACAATTTATATATTTAAGAGAAAACCACAAAGAATGAACTAAGATCAAGTAGTCCTCAGAAAATTCTCTTTATATGAACAGTATGGAAACGATCCAGTAAGTTACTGTGTAATTGTAATGATTCGCTTAAACTTCTAACCTTATTCCCAAGCCCACACCAAAGAAATAAAAGAGCTGCTATACAGTCTCCTTTGAGAAAATTAGGACATTCATAAGCAATATGCAAAACGCACACCTTAAACAGAGTAACTAAAACCCCTACCATGAATATTTATAAATAAAATGAGATTCTTGATGATCAATCTTATGCAGTACTGAGTATGGTTTAACTATTTACATAATTCAGGTATTAAGGGATTTAAGATGATAATAGCCATCATTTACAAAATGTCTTTGATGTTTCAATAAGTCTACGGAGTACTTACTTTTTTTTTTAAGAAGAGACTGGGTCTTAAGGTTACTTGCTCACAGTAACACTAGTGAAAAGCAGGCGTCTCTCTAATTTAACTTAAATAGAGGAAACCAGAGTAGACCAAGCTTTTTACAACCTGGTCCCGGCACTGTGGCTCCAGCAAAGAACGTGGGGAGAGCAAGGGCCGGTTAGCTCTCAGTGATGTCACCATCGACATTCACAAGTGCACCCATGGCCTGGGCATCAAAGAAGCGTGCCCCTTGGGCACTTAAGGAGCTTCAAAAACGTGCCATGAAGGATATGGGAACTCCAGATGTACATCAGGAAATCGACACCAGGCTTAACAAAGCTGTCTGGGCCAAAGGTACCAGGAACATCCCCTCCTGTATCTGCCTACGGTTGTCCAGGAAACCTAATGAGGATGAAGCTTCACCAAACAAGCTCTACACAGTGGTTACCAGTGTGCCTGTCACCACTTTCAAAAACCTGAAAACTAGGGGCTGATGATCTAATGAAGGTTATAAAACTTAAAAAAAAAAATAGACACCAAAGATTCTAACAGTGAAAACAAACCACAACCCAAACATTAATGCTGACAGCGTGCAGAATTTTTCACTGTGAACTCTCATAACAAGTCTATCCATACCATGAAATCACTTAGACTGTAGCTGTAGTTATTGGCACGGTGTCCGTTCTTTCTATGCCCTGGGACACATGGAATTATCATCTAATTAGATCACTTCCTCATCCACAGGAGTCCAGTCTTTGAAATGACATAAGCGTATCAGCATCACACAGACTTACCTAAGCTTGACCTTGTGTTGGACCGTTCTATGATTGCGTGCTTACTTGGATTGTTTAATACTGAGCGTTTGGCAAGTGAGATGTCAGCGGTGACCCTGGTGATAGATATCCTGTTGAGAGACAAAGCAGCAGAAGACACTGCGGTTATTCATTTAAGGAGAGGAAAGAAGCACACCGTGGCCACTGTCTCCCATGGGAAACGGCCAGGGCGCGTGATTCTTGTTGATCATGCACTTACCATACTCCCAGGCTGCATGACAAGGACCAGGCATGCACTAAGTCCTTCTCTTGGGCTATCTCATTAAATAATTTTTAAAAACTCAAAGGGGGCTTGCAGCTTACATCCCACTATTGCTGATGAAAAAAACCCGAGTCATGAGTAGGTTATGTACAGGTGTGCTCAGGAGATGGTACAGGTGGTATGGTGGTGGCAAAGTGATGAAGTGCTTCCAGCCAATCACAAAGGTCCACTTTGGCTTCCCTAAAGATTTTCAAAACTCACTGCCTTCTAGTCAATTCCAACTCAGTGACCCTATAGGGCAGGACAGGACTGGGCCTGTGGGTGTCGGAGACTGTAATCCGGTCTTTAAGCCTCTGGAGGTTTCAAACAACTGCCATACCAGGTTGGCAGCTCACCATGTAATGTAACCTATCCTATCAGGCCGATTCCAGTCTGTCCTATAGGGTTGCTGTGTATTAGAAGTAGCTCCAATGGGTTTATTTGTTAGATAGAGGGAAATCCCCAGGGCTTGCTAGCCTTTGTGAAATGTCCCCCCCCAAAAAAGATCTAAAGAAATAATTGGGGGGGGGCAGAGTTTACAGGAACCTTGAAATTGCATAGAATCTGTTAACCATAAACATCTTGTAACATACACCTAGTTTAGAGTTTAGTTTATACAAAGAATCTAACTTTACCCAAAGTTGTCTGGTTTTCACTTTGGTTTCCTAGGTAACTCTGGAGTTTAATGAGTATCAGACCTTCTATTGGGCAAATGAATGATGAGGGGGCAGGCTTGGCCATAGAGACCACTACTAATGTGATGTCAGCTGATCTCAGAAAAGTGGGACCAAGCTCAATCCATCATGTTAAAATTAACCAATGGTTATTTTCTACTCTACTTCTTCCCTAAAGTCAACAATAGGCCTAGAGGGCGACCCGCCTGCATTTCAGATCTGAGAGGTCGGCTTCTGAGCATACTGAGCAACGGCTCAAACAAACCTTACGCAGTCATCAGTCTGCTTCAGTGATTTTTCTACACCTTCCTTGTACCCTTTCCAGGGAAACCTGTGGATGGACTGTTTTATGACAGTGTCAACCAGGCATGAGAGAGCCTTGGGATCCAAGAAAAAAGGATCTCCCACCCAAAAGGAGGGGCAAAGAAACCTCAGAACAATGGCCTGGATGTCCCAGATTGGCAAATGTGCACCCTACACAGAGGGACATGGTCCCGGCTAGAGCAGTTCGCAGATCTGGCAGGTGAAGCGAAGTTGGGAGATTGCCTGATGAATGTGAATGTGTCATGTGGAGATTTGGAATTTTAGACATGAAGGAGATCTTGGGGCTGAAATAGTGACGCATATGTAAAAAATGAAACCAATTTAGAACATACAATGATAGATGTGCTTTACACAATTGATCTATGTATTGTGATGAATTGTATGAGCCCCAATAAATTGATTAAAAAAAAAAAAGAACATATAATGATCTCATGAAGCTCACCAAGAAAACACACAAACACACACACATCATCATCCACAGTAGCAGTAGCAGCCTGCAGTATGACATGATTCATTTGAATATGACTTACATCATGGTTGTACTAAATACCAATTCCGCCAAAATTATTATTTTTACCGTTAGGATACTGCAGGATGAGCTATATGCAAGACTGTGTATGGGGGAGAAAGGGAGAAAACATGTGAAATAACTAGATAGTCTTCATGATAATTACTCAGGAGATAGTGCCTACACTGAGAAATCGAGCTGTAAATCTAACACACGATGTACAGACAGAGTAAATAGCAAAAGACACAGGCAGAGTGGGAAAAAGTTTACTATGGAGAGAACAAGGCACTAGGTAAAGTATGCAAAGGTGCTACTGGCTTTACATCTGCGTGCACAGCCGGGCTCCACCAGCCTCTTCCTTGTTTAGCTTTCTGTGGTGTGTGAAGTGGCCGTGCTCCGAACGGGTAGGCCAATCTGTGCATACGGTTCCTACTTAGCCATACTTCAGTGCAAGAGACTTGGCTGCTACACCAATGGTTGGGAGTTCAAGTGCCATGGTTGGTTTCTGTACCGACTGGTGGCCTTGGAAGCGGTGTGGGGACGTTCTCCTCCATCAGAATCCACCCACTGATGGTGGGTTTGGATTTTCCATGGGAGAAAGAGCTGGGCGCCTTGTCAGCGATTAAAAAACTGCATGTGCAGCCAGGGAAGGTGATTGCGACAATTTATCAGACGTTGGTTTCCAAGTGAGGGCATCACATGAAAGGACAAGAGGGGGGTTTCTGTAAATGGGACATTCATAACCTGGGGACTGCCTGCACCCGGGATGCCTCTAAGCCGCAGACCTTGGACACGCTTGGAGCCTGAGTCCAGGGGGGCGTTTCGGTGTAGAGTCCTGGTTTACACTGGTCATAGGAAATCAGAAACATGCTCGGAGAAGGTTTTAAAGTGACAGGGCCCCAGGTCCCACCCCAGGGCCTTGGTTTCCATCATTCAAGGAGAAGCTATAAGCCCAGGGATCTGCTCTAAAGCAGCACAGGTGCTTCTAAGAATGTATCCAGGGTCGAAAAGTCCCCATTTCAAAAGTCTGCTCACACCTAGTGACTTTCCCACATAAGACCTGACTTTGTTTTCCCTGGATGATTGATTTGTAATCAGATCTTCTCACCGAAGACAGGCAGAAACCCTTGTCAGCGGGGACAAACCCCTACAATTCAGCACGCATTGCCGCGGAGTCCCTGGCATGGAAAACAGAACTCAGCCCAGATGCGGCCTTCCCCCCTCTGGCCCCGTTTCCTTGTTAAGCTCCCCGTCATTGTCCTACAAGGCGCACCTGAAGATGACTTTGTTTCCCTGACACAATTCCTTGGGGTGCATCCAATCTTAAATGGGCTGCTCTATTTCACGTAACAGAGAGAGGGTAGTGACCTGCACACAGCTATTTAACAGGCTGCAGCAGGGCTCTGCCCACTTCGCCAGGCTCTCCTAAACAAACTGAACTGGGTTTCAGAACAGGAAAGGATTGCTTGAAAGCTTTAGGTGATCCAAAACCTTCCTATCACCAGCATTTCATTTCATACTTTCTCCATCCTGGGCTTATAAAAATTGGGGAGAAAGTTATTGAATAGATGACTAAAATGTAATCCAATCCCCCTCCCCTCGGGGGTTACTGAAACCCAAGAGCAAACCATCCCTTCCAAAATTACTTGTATACGCATACACCTGATGTCTTTGATGAATCTATCTACCTTTTAATTAATGGGGTTTGGTAGTGCCAGTGATTCATGAGTGTAGCAGCTCACTGAAGAAGGTGTGAGGGTCTAAGTCCAGCCAGAGGCACTTTGGAGAAAGGTCTGGCAGTCGACTTCTGAAAAGGCAACCACGAACACTCGATGGCGCAGCTACGCACACACAGGGGGTCACCAGAATCCGATTCTACTTGAAGGCAACGGCTTTGCTCGTTTGGGGTCCTACCCTTTTGGCTTGCCCAAAGCAAAGCATTTCATGATTCCGTCGGTCTTTCCATGCGTTAAAAAGTTCCCTTTTTACGGAAATCCAACCTTACCCCGATTACTTCCTCTGAGGAGGGCATTTAATTGGTGATCAGAGGCCTAGAATGTCAAATCCGGGCTCCGTGATTGAAGTTAAGCTAAGGCAGGCCCATTAATAAAACCATATGGAAATAACTTCTGGCCAGAAGCAATAGATTGATACAACCTTCAGGTATTTTGTTTATTTGTTTCTAAAATGAAATCAATCTGGATGGCTGATATTTGAAAGTATGGGTCCAAGATACACCCTCTGACTGGAATCTATCATCCAAATTCAAAACTTCATCAGGTTCAAACAGACGCGCTAAGTCAGGAAATTCCATCCCCGTTCCCCCTCTTTGGCGTTAGGAAGGGCAGGGGTTTCGCTCAGCCATGGGAACACAGTGCTTGCTCTAGCAGAATTTTTGGTGTGTGTGCGTGCATGTAGACAGTTCCAGACTGTGATCAGTGGCAGAGCCAAGAACACGGGAAAGCTACACGGGGCAGATCAGAGGAATGCTTTTCATACGTGGCCAGTGACTGATAGCCTTGGACTAAACCAAAAACTATGTTTCCTGGCACAAATTTAAAAAAATAAAATCCCAGAAGTCATGGAACACAAAAGGCTAATTAGGAGCATTTGGTGAGGCAGACTTTGATTATGAAGTCTTCCTGTACCTTGGACAAACCATTTCTGGTTTCTTCTTTCGCATTTGTCCTGCTCTACAAGTTCCCTTCCTGGCCTTACCTCCCGCTGCTCAAAGGCAACATACAGTAGAACTGGTTATAGGAGTACACACGGTCAGCAAGCAAGTGCTATGCTCAGAAACCTAAAAGAACACTGACATCTACCTACATGATTTGTTGTACTTGTTAGGAAATGCAGAAATAGACAGTAGCCCCCTTTGTTCCCAGGTCCCCTCAACACTACTCTTAGTTTAAGTCTTTCAGTGTATACCATAGCCTCTTAAGGAGCTTACATGTTACAAGGAGACAGCTTTAGTAATATAGGAGCGGGTTTAACTATTATTACTGCTGCTCTGGACTGTGGTCTAGGCAGTTTGGACCCATGCAGACACGAGAGTAGACTCATTCCATACGCCATTCAAGGTTGTGACCTCGTGGAAGCAATGTGTCAGGCCTGAGGGTGCATTTAGAATGGCAACTTTTCCGTTAGTTGTTGAGGGAATAATGATCTGTGCTATCTAAGGATCATAATCATTACTGTGCTTCATTATTGATTAAAGGCTGCCTTTCAGATGTTCCACAACAGCCTAGGCCTTTTGTTTCTCTTCCCTCCTGACTGTGTGAGACACAGGAAATATAGGCATATAGACTATGGTCCATAAGTATG